GATAATTAAAATAAACATCAAATGTGATGTGAAAGGGGGGGGAAAGCATCAGCCGAACATGCATGAAGATCAAATGAAATATTTCACATTTTCTCCCTTCATTTGGCTCACGCAGCAGCTGAATTATTTTGATAAATGTGCTCACGAATTTTTAATGGATGGACTGACCTCGTCCAAATGAAGTGTCCTGAAATTTACGTCGGTTTGCGGGGGGTGGCGAGTGGGGGTGAATGTAATTAATTAACAGAAATATTCCTCGTGACAGTTATCTCCCATTCACGACTCCGCCACGGGCGAAAATGCCAGGCAGATGGAGTCAATGAGACCGCGAATGACTTAATTCTTGCCCAAATTGATTTCATTTCCAATGTCAGTTCGCTGGGTGAAGTTTTCAAAGCCCCGCGAGAGGGATTTTCCGGCCAAATTTTCACCACACTTTCTAAGGAGACAGTGAAAGTGGGTGATTTATTTCCCTCAAACTTGATGGGAGATCCGAATTTTCTTTCATATCCTCTCGAGTTTTCTTATTTGAGTTTCATATGACTTCACAATATAACGAGCAGGAAAATTTTGAGAGCGAATAGAATGTAATAGAAGCGGAATTATTTTCCACACAGGAAGAGGAAAAAGAAAAATGCAGAGGAAAAGTGGATTATATAAATTTAGCAACTTTACTCTCTCAACAAACTGAAAAAGAGTTGAAGGACATTTCATGTTCTCAAAGAGAATCTATAAGAAAAGAATGTCCAGTGAATTTTTTATTACTTACAAAATTTATAATAATGAAAAAAAACTGCATTTTTTTCTTCTCTACGAACACTCAATTTCTTGAGACTTCACATTCTCTAGCTATTGTAGAGAAAATTGAGCACCTCTTCGTCATGTTGAGATGTTTTCATTTAAATTTACTCCACCTCATTTGCCACTCATTCATTTTTCCCTTCATACCTGCCAGATGAAGAGTATTTGCAAATTTCTCCTCATTACGCGAACCATCTTCTCTTGTGCGATAGAAAAATATTTTTTTCATGCAAAAATGTGTTCATTCTGTTGCACGAAACACTCCACCCTTCGTGGCCCAGAGAGGCAAACACACAGGAGACTGAAGAGAAAACCTCTTCGGCGTGAGTTCACAAGCCACATCTATTCTCATTCAGCTCTGGCACAAGGGAGTGGATAACTATTGCAATATTTACGTTATGTCGTTAAATTTTACATACTTTCAAAGACGCGCGGTGTTGGCAAATGGGGAGGAAAATTATATTTTATGCAGCGTGTGTGTATTAAAATGCTTACAGAGGATGCTACTTATTAGCTGATACGAGACTTGGTGGCTTTTCTATATGCAAAGGAGGCTAAATTCATATTGCTTGCGAAGAATTGTGCTCCAAGGAGCTCAGGAGTTGCACCTGCATGGGTGAAAAATGGGTGAGGAAGATAAGTTTTCTGCTCTATAGCTTTCGTGGAGAATGAGCTCTGATAAAAATAATTGCACAACCAGGCGCCTCCACTGTCTCAGTTATTTATAAACCTTGCTCAAAGATGCTTAAATGATCTCTTATAAGCACATAATTTTTAGTTTTGCCAACAGAGAGAGAGACTTTTGTAATGTTGCGCAACTTTCATATCACTTCTGATATTTTAAATTTACCTCCAGACTTTTTTCCCTCCTCCTATATTGCAATACTCACAACGAGACAAGCTCTATTTTATACAATGAGAATATACACAGTGTTTTATGTTTAGTTTCATACTAGTTTCGTCGCTCGCACTGAGATGAAACTCTGTCTTCTTCATCGTATATTCTTTATCGCATGTTTTTAATTAAAACTTTTGTATCACACCTCCATCCTCTGTATTTGAGATTAAAAAGTCAATGAATAGGATGTTGTCTGTGCGGGGACAGGAAGATGCTGAGTGGCAGGAAAGATGCAGGACGAATTTTATCTAAAATTGTCAAGTGTTGTTGAAAAATTTACAGAAATTGAGCAACTATTATGGATTAATTTCTTCTGATAACTTATCTCTACAGAAAGTTTGAAACTTTTTAAATTGAATCACATCTTTGCACATTCTTTGACAATTGCGAATTCTCACATGAGATTCACTGTCATGTAAATATGTCATCATCAGGAATTTCACCTAAAAGAGAAGGAGAGAGAGAGGGAAAATGTTGGCAAAACATAGAGAATATCAGTCTCTAAAATGCAAAATATGTAGACAGCAAGTAGCATAAAAAGTGCATACATCAGCTCTCTTCTAGCCATGAAAATTGGATGGAAATTTCCCAGCTTTTGTCCAAAGAAAATTTCCCACACATGATGAACAATTTGCGAGTTCACTTCATTTCTGACTCCAAAAAGGGTAAATATGAATCATATAAACACTAATTTAGTGCTGATGATGAGCATGTGTAGACTTACGTCGTCTGCACCCTTTTCATGCATGAAGACTTGCCGTCAGGCGAGATTTGTGCTATATCGGGCATTTTAATTCGGTAATTAAAATTTCTCATCAACACTGGAGGAAAGTTTGCGTGAAGTTTTGATAATAAACATTCCGCAGACACCAAAATCGCACTCATCAGAGATCATCCACAATCGTCTTTGTCCATATATACAGAGAAAAACTTTTAAAATGACAATGCAAGGATTGTAGAGCTTTTTGAGATCTAATTCACTGTGACGTTCACACAAAGTCAACTCCCAAACGTCAATTTTATCACCACATGAGAGCCCAATTAGGAGAATTACTCGGTGTTTTTTCACAAAATCTCGTCTTTTCATTCAACTTCTGCAATCAGTGTGAGTGAAAAAGGGGGGGGAAAAGACGGAAAGTCTACGCGAAGAGGGTATCACAACCCCATTGTGACGCCTTGCAACCCTCCAGCTTCCTCTCCTCCCTGAGACAGTGCTCAATGAAAGGGAGGACCATTCTCCACTCATTTAGTATCACAGTAGCGGCGCGATTCAAAGAATTATCTACCGTGACGATAGAATTATAGACGATGAAGGCAGCAGAGCAGAACTAAGATTGGCAAAAATTTGATATCAAGTTACGTTCACCCTGACATTCGTTCTGGAAGCTGAGGGTGAAATCGCTTTGGCGTGGAAAGAGATACTGAAGCGCAGCGGTTCTCTATATTATGCGAATTTATAGGAAGATATTGTATATATGAGAGGAGGAAATTAATTTAATGGACCAGAGGAAAACCAGGTGCTGCCGTCTTCATCGTGCCCGTCTTACTGCGCGAAAACGGAGAAAAATGAATTGTTTTTGTTGCGAGAGTTTACTTCAGAAGATTTTTTCTCTTATTTATTTTCCATATCTTATGGAACTTTGCTGAGGAAAAAGTCATTTACAAAAGCTTGTTACTATGCTTTCCTTGTGACTTTGCAAAAGTGTTGCTTCTTCTATATAGTTGGCAATATGCATAGAATTCAGAGAGATTTTAGAGACAGAAAAATCTGTCTTTTATTAATTATTAATTCTCTATATTTGTACAAAATTGTAAGTTAATGTTTTTTTTCTATCTCCACAATTAGTCGGAATGAATCCTGCAAATGTCAATGAATTCTTTGAGGAGGAAAATTTCAAATTCAACACTTCCAGCAGACGACAGCAGGTAGAGGACGCCAGAGAACCCATCCATATTTATCTCATGCCATTCAGCACGTGCCATTCATCTCAGAAACAATAACATTTTGGAAAAAGAGTCAGATGTACCGAGTGAGAGGAAATCAACCCAGCCGGTCACATTTGGTCTATTTGCCGCACAAGAAAATATTTGAGCAGAGAATTTAATTAAATTAAAACAAAAACATTGGAAACAATATCCATTAAGGGGAGAGAGCGAGTTGCCTGAGAAAGGGATCTGTGCATACAAAGTACAAATATGACTTGTGTTTCTAGAGAAAGTTTCACATTCCCAGTTTGAGCAATTCGTGTGGTCAAAATTACAATTTCATGCTTTGTGTGATGTGTGTGCTTTTTGGGTTCAGCCAAGTTAAACATCTTGAATTTAATTCGTGTCCAACTTGGGAGAGAGAGAGAGAGTCAAAAATCAGCAGCATAGAAAAGGGTTCATCCACGCACTCCTTGGGGTTAATTAAAATATTGGTCTAGACTTTTTGGGATACCTTTTAGAAGATATTTATACACATTTTTTCTTCACCGCACAACAACGAAAATTTCTGTATTTTGCCAGGTGAAGAGAGAGAGAAAAAAAACGATTCAAAGTCAGAACAGTGTTGATGGAAAATTTAATTAATTAATAATACATTTTATTGCTATAACCACAAAACATTTCCACACAACAAACACATGCCTATGCAGGAGTTTTTCCAACATAACAAAAAGGGGGGGTGGCGAAGTGTGCAAATATTGCGCCACGTCATGAAACTTAAATTCGGAAAATGTAATAAACGAAAACCATTTTCCAAATAAATTTATGCCACATCATCGTCATCAAATTCAGCTGCCAGCTGAGGATGGGCAAACGTACACACACGACGCTGAGGTAAATATTCCATTGGTTTGTGCGGAGGGATTGATGGAATTAGAGGTAGAGCTTCCATGTTACCATTCAATTCATGTTTGCTGCTCAGCTTGTAACACTTATTGTGGTTTATGCAGCAAATCAATTTGCCTGATGAATGAATGAATAGATTATGTGTGCATTTCAGCACCCACTCACTCAATTCTGTTATTTCTACACTGTCTACATGTGTCTTCTGCCACTGCCACAGCTCTTTTTCCGCAATAAATCACTCGATCCAGCATTGAAAGCGCAGGTGAGGCAAGTGGATGAGAAAATACCATGTCACAATGGAAAATACTTGGAAAATTACTGTGTGATATTGATAAGACTGACGTAAGTTTAGTAGTGGAAATTGTATTATACATTCCCATCAATATAAGAAATTGCTTCTCCAAATTTACTGTTTTAAGAAACTGCTCAAGACTGTGGATTTATTGCTAATAATTAACCAATATTTTTCTTATTCAATATACAATGCATCATCGATCTCAGTCCATAACTTCATCATTTCCGTGTCAATATCATTGGAAACTAAGACCTTCACTTGATCAGGTCCAGGAACTTCGTCTCTTTTGAAGATCTGACGATCGCAAGACGGCTTGGAAGTCTTTACTGTGCAAGGCCTGAATGATCGCCAAGTCTTGGCCTCGCCACGAGCAATAAAATTCACGAAGGTTCGGACATAAACATCGCTCATTCGGCCTTCTGGACTATCAGGATCGAAAACGGGGAAGAGTGGCGGCATAGTGAAGAGGAACATTAGATCATCTATATGACTGACTCCCAGATTCAAATCTGTCTCAGTGGTATATTTGAGAATTGTGTATGGACTCTGGAACAAAAATCAAATGATAAATAAAATGATACATGAAAATAGAAAATGAAATAAATACTCTGAATCCAAATTCATAAATATAGACAGGATTCTTCTGTACGTCCGCATACTTCAGATATTGGCTCACAAGCTTGTAAGTAGGATAACGTAAAAGTCTGTCTCCATACATCTGAAACAATGCGTGATAATGTAATAAAATTCATTGATTAATATAGAGTCTAACCTTTAAGTATTGTCCTTTATTTGAGTCATCGATGTAATCTTGACCATTCAAGTAAAACTTCAAGACGCTGTTCAGATGTCTTGGCGGGAAATCGATTTGAATTGGCAAAAGATCATGCAATTTTGCATTAAATTGTTGTAATATTGTTTCGTTGACCACAATCAACGCATTTATTAGCTCTTCATCACTTGTAACGCCAGTCAAAATTGGTTTATGTTTGAATCTTCCTTCAGCCCACATTTTCCGTGGATCCTCTGTCAGGAATGCACCATCCCAATGTCCTTCGACACACGGTCGAACTGGGACTGGAGGTGTAACGTTAAATGCGTAAGTTTGATCAACAGCAAACACCAGTTTTAGTGCATCAACTTTCTTCAATTGATTGGCCAAAGAATAAGAAGAAGCAGTTTTCCAGTCATCCAAGCCGACATTTTTAGCAGCTTCACGAAACTGGGACGCAAAATCAATCGGATACACAAATGGAGCGATCCCATTCCCACTCATAATAATCGATTGATGGAAAAGTCCTGCAGTAAAAAGGATATTATTATACCGATCCAAAATTCACATTAAATTCGTTGACTTTACCCTGAGACTTTGAATTCAACATATGCAACTGTGTTGAAGCACCTCCTGCACTCTGTCCAGAAAGAGTTATTGCATTGGCATCACCGCCAACTGAAGCAATATTCTTCGCCACCCATTCAAGAGCAAGTTGCTGATCCTTCAATCCAAAGTTTCCCTTTACAGCTCCATCTTCGGAGCAGAGAAAACCCAGAAAACCCAAACGATAGTTCAGAGTCACAAGAATAACTTCTCCATTGTCCATGAAATATTCAGGCCCAAAATATCTGGGATGAGACGAGAAGGAAGCAAAAGATCCTCCATGGATATACACCATCACTGGGAGTTTTTTGTCGCTACTCCAAGTATTTGGTCGGTAAACGTTGAGATAGAGACAATCCTCTGAGCCTGAAACAGGCTTTCCGGGCAAGTAATAGTTTCTTTGATAGCAATCGTCTCGAGGATACGAAGCATCCCAGTATCCTTTCCATCCACTGTACGGCACAGGATTCTCTAATCTCAATTTTCCCACTGGAGGCTCAGCGAAAGGAATTCCATAGAAAGCCTCGTAAGGCTTTATCCTTCCAGTTTCGTACTTTCCACGAATGCATCCAGCATTTGCACACACTTCCGGTTGACGTAACGATTTGCTTAAGAAAGCGTCATTCAAAAATTGATTATTTGCAAGTAATATTGGTTGAATATTATTTCCACACAAAAATATAACTAACAACAAAAGTTTCATCTCAATTTTTAGCTCTTGTCGTAAAGAAACCCAAATATAAACTGAGCGATGATATTTTATCAGCTTCTTTTCAATCCAATGTGTTCAAAACCAGTTCTATTTCTCTGAGAATTAAATATGCAAACAGCCAGATGAATAATTTTTTTTCGAAAATAAATGAAACGAACCATGTATAAATCCAATACTTCATCAGTGATACGAGAAATCTCTTGTGCAACTCTTCTCAATCGTTTTATTTTTCAAATTAACAGCATGCAGGCCTCCACCGGAAACAAGTGTTGTTGCTTTACTTACAATCCACTATCGATCTTAGCCCAAAACTTCACCATTTCGGTGTCAATATCATTGGAAACTAAGACCTTAACTTGATCAGGTCCGGGAACTTCGTCTCTTTTGAAGATCTGACGATCGCAAGACGGCTTGGAAGTCTTTGCTGAGCAAGGCCTGAATGATTGCCAAGTCTTGGCTTCGCCACGAGCAATGAAATTCACGAATGTTCGGACATACATTTCGCTCATTCGGCCTTCTGGACTATCAGGATCGATAATTGGGTATAATGATTGTATAGTGAAGAGGAATAAACGATCGTCGAAGTGACTGACTCCCAGATTTAAATTAGTTTGTGCTGTATATTTGAGAGATGTAATTGGACTCTGAAATGAATTTATAATATTAAATTAATAATGTGGCATTTAAATTAAGTTCAAATAATTACCCTGAATCCAAATTCGTAAAGGAAAACAGGATTCTTCTGTACATCAGCATATTTCAAATATTGACTCACAAGCTTGTGAGTAGGATAATAGATAAGTCTGTCTCCAATCATCTGAAATAGTATTTTGTGAATAAGTATAATATTTGAAAGATTTGGTTTTTTCGGTTTTTCTTCACCTGTAAGTAATTTTTCTCATTTGAGTTATCGATGTAATCTTTTCCATTCAAGTAAAACTTCAAGACACTGTTCAAATGTCTGGGTGAAAAATCGGCTTGGATTGGGAGAAGATCATGCAATCTGTCATTAAATTGGCGCTTTAACTTTTCATTAAGCACAATCACAGCGGCATACAATCCCTCATCACTTGTTGCAGTAAGTAACATAGGTTTATGTTTGAATCTGCCTTCAGCCCACACTTTTCGTGGATCCTCAGTCAGGAATGCACCATCCCAATGTCCTTCGACACACGGTCGAACTGGGACTACAGGTGTAATGTTAAATGCGAAGGTTTCGTCGACGGCCAATACGAGTTTCAATGCATCGACTTTCTTCAATTGATTGGCCAGAGAATAAGAAGAAGCGCTTTTCCAATTATCCAAGCCGACATTTTTGGCAGCTTCACGAAACTGGGACGCAAAATCAAGCGGCGACGCAAATGGAGACTGGATATTTCCACTCATAATAATCGATTGATGGAAAAGAGCTAGAGGGAAAAATATGCTAACATTAGCAAAATGATGTGCAAACACTTGTTTGATTAACACGCAATAGTGATTGTTATTACTAATTACCCTGAGACTTTGAATTCATCATATGCAGCTGAGTTGAAACACCTCCAACACCTAATCCAATGACAGTTACAGCATTTGCATCGCCACCAAATGATTCAATGTTCTTCGCCACCCATTCAAGAGCAAGTTGCTGATCCTTCAATCCAAAGTTTCCTTGCACTGCTTCATTTTCTGAACACAGAAAGCCGAGAAGACCCAATCGATAGTTCAAAGTCACAAGAATCACTTCTCCGTTGTCCATGAAATATTCAGGTCCCAAAGTTCCGGGATTAGACGAGAAGGAGGTAAAGGCTCCGCCATGAATGTAAACCGCTACAGGCAGTTTTTTCTTAGTATTTGCTGTATCTGGCCGATAAACATTCAGATACAAGCAATCTTCGGATCCAGTAATAGGCTTTTCTGGCAAGTAATAGTTCCTTTGGTAGCAAGCGTCACGTGGATACGTGGCATCCCAATATCCTTTCCATCCCTTGAAGGGAACTGGATTCTCTAGTCTCAATTTTCCCACTGGAGGCTCAGCATAAGGAATTCCGTAGAAAGCATCATACGGCTTAATTCGTCCACTTTCATGCTTTCCGCGAACACATCCAGAATACGCGCAAACTTCCGGTCGACTTGACACTGCCGTTGGAGAAATTACACTCTCATGTTTAGGACTATTTTCTGCAACTGTTTGTAATACCAAAAAACCAAAAATCACTCCAATAAATAAACCGAACTTCATCTCGACTGATTTTTTGGTTCTGCACTCAACCAACGTCAGAATGGCTACTGTTCAAAATATGTGGAAAACGTGGTTTTATAGCAAACAGTTTTCATGATTAATAGGCTTTAATAGCATAAGAAATTCTTTACAGATGTACGTGTTACATGAGAAATTCAATTAGTTATAAGATAATTATCATTATAAAAATCAATAATAATGAGTTTTATTAGAAAATATTGATGTCTCATTAAAAATAGCATGATTTTTTACTCATGCGAAACCTATAATTAATTACGTATTTGTTTTTATCATTTATTAGAGTTTTATTCAATATAAGGCCTATTTTGTGAAGTACAAATTAATAGTGGAAATTTAACATTCGTTTTATCTATTGAAAATCAAACGAACGCAATATGAATTTTGTATTAAAGAACTAAAAATCAATCAAAATTTACACTCGATGAATAAATTTCTCAGTGATCTTTTGCTTAGAGAAAGACATACTGTAAATCGATATAAAGGATTTGTCATTAACACTTGCAATTTCCACCAGTGCAAGGTGGGAAATTTACAGCATTCACACCCATATCAATAGTCGACCACAATTTTACCATTTCCTCATTGACTTCATTGCTAATCGAAACGATCACTTGATTGGGATCGAGATCCGTGTATCTCTGGAAGACTTGGCGATCGCAGAAAGGATTCGATGTCAGAGCTGTGCAAGGCTTGTGAGTTCGCCAAACTTTCACCTCTCCTCGAGCCACAAAATTCACGACAGTGCGAACATAAATATCGCTCATTCTGCTTTCCGCTGTGTCAGGCTCGAATATCGGGAAAAGTGATGTCATTGAAAATAAGTACATGAGGTCATCGATATGAGCGACTCCAAGATTTTCCGTTGCACCCAGATTTGTGATGAAAGTATAAGGACCCTAAAAGTGACATGAGACAATCAAGATTGACCACAAAAGCGTCGCGCTGAATTTGCTTACGGTGAATGAGAATTCGTAAAGATAAATCGGATTTTTCTCAACATCCGCATATTTTAAGTACTGCCTGACAAAAGTAATCAAAGGATGTATGAAAACTCTATCAGCAAACATCTGAAAAAGGAAAAAATAGATAATCCAATGACTATCCTAAATGCCACATGAAATCGTTGATAAACTAACCGTAGCAAATTCATCATAATTGGATTCATCGATATATTCCTTATCTCCAAAGTAGAACTTCAGAACATCGAATACATATCGAGGATCAAAATTCAGCATTATCGGTAGATAATTATAAATATCTGCATTGAAAGCATCTACTATAGTCTTGTTATGTGTTATAGCGACGACCAGAGTGCCCTCATCTCTCACGACACCCGTCAAAATGGGTTTCTGGTTAAATCTTCCCTCGGCCCACAGAATATGAGGATTCTCCTTTAAGAAGGCGCCATCCCAGTCACCTTCCAAGCAAGGACCAAGAGGTATAGTAGGAGTAAGGGCGATCGGGATTAAATCGTCGATATCGACAAGACTTAGACCATCCACTCTCTTCAGTTGATACGCTAAATCACTCGTAGACGCCGTTTCCCAGTCAGCTATTCCGGCAATTTTCGCCACTAATCTATACTGAGTAGCAAAATCCTGGGTATAAAGAGCGTGTGCAGTTAAAGCAGTATCACTAAATAAAATGGCCCGATGGAAATAACCTGAAAGAAATAAATTCACTTCAAATCATTGACTCAAGACGCACGTGCTTATGAGTTTTCTCACCCGACGATTTGGAATTCAATATATGCAAATTACATGATATAGCTCCAGCACTTTCGCCAGATATAGTTATAGCACTCGAATCTCCGCCAAAGGATTCGATATTGTTGAAAATCCATTCCAAAGCAAGTTGCTGATCCTTCAATCCAAAGTTTCCTTGCACCACTCCATCTCCTCCTGAACTGAGGAATCCGAAAACTCCTAGTCTGTAGGAAAGAGCCACATAGATCACTTCTCCATTGTCCATTAAATAATGTGGTCCAAAGTTATCAGGACGACCAGAAAATCCAAGATAAGCACCACCATGAATATACACCAAAACAGGGAGTTTCTTCTTTCTACTCCAAGTACTCGGCCGATAAACGTTGAGATAGAGACAATCCTCTGATCCCGAAATGGGTCCTCCTAGCAATAAGTAGTTCTTCTGCAAACAAGCCTCTCGAGGATACGTGGCATCCCAATATCCTTTCCATCCACTGTACGGCACAGGATTCTCCAGTCTCAATTTTCCCACTGGCGGTTCAGCATAAGGAATTCCGTAGAAAGCCTCATAAGGCTTTATCCTTCCACTTTCGTACTTTCCACGAATGCATCCTGCATTTGCACACACTTCAGGATAAGACACAACTGATTTTCGGAAGAATGCATTATTCACAGATGTGAAAGAAGAATTGAATGCACTTATTTGAAGAGCACAAAATGCACAAATTATTGATATGAGCAAAGAAGGACGCATTTTGATTCTGCATCCACTCTCAGTTAATTCTTAAGACTAACTGATGAAATTTTTGGCAATATTGCTTTCTTATTTTACCCAAATCTTCTCAAACAGGTTCTTGCAAAAAGCCTTTTTACATGTTTTTGTATAAATTGGCAATACATTTCTTCCAGTTGGGGACATCACGAGATTTAAATGAACAAACTCTTTCATTTTCATTCCTGTTTCACATGTTTCAATGGAAGAAGACACATAAATAAAATAGCGTTGTCTAAACAGAACCGCGATAAATTCTATTTGGATAAAAATAGCATTCTCCAAGAAGCATTAAGTAAAAAGATTTTTTTTTGTATTCTTCGATCAATATATTTGATAAGAATTAAGAATACAAAAATAAACATACGATATGATTGATCAACAAAATCCTTTTGCCTTCATACACGCTGATTTAACAACATTCTCCATTTGAACAAGGCGGCAAGTTTATTGCAGCAACGCCATTGTCAATCTGAGACCATAATTTCACCATTTCCTGGTTAATTTCATTCGAAACAGAGACGATAACTTGGTTGGGATCGAGATCCGAGTATCTCTGGAAGACTTGGCGATCGCAGAAAGGATTCGACGTCAGAGCTGTGCAAGGCTTGTGAGTTCGCCAAACTTTCACCTCTCCTCGAGCCACAAAATTCACGACAGTGCGAACGAGAATATCACTCATTTTTCCCTCTGCAGAATTCGCTTCGAAAACCGGAAACAAAGGCGGCATCGTGAAGAGATACATTAAATCATCAAAATGACTGACTCCCAAATTCACGTCAGTTCCAGTGAGATATTTTAGAAAAGTGTAGTTGCTCTGAAAACATGTTTAAAAATTATTTTCAAATAAATTAGTATTGAAATTGCGTACCTTGAAACCAAATTCATAGAGAAATATTGGATTTTTCGTAACATCTGCATATTGCAAGTATTGTTTAACGAATGTATAGAGAGGATAATGAATAAATCTGTCCCCAAACATCTGAAAGTTTAACAAAAATGGAAAAAATCAGTGACAATATTTTGTAAAATTTTGATTTTCAGTATACCGTCAAAAAACTGTCCCTATTCGTATCATCGATGTATTCTTTGTCTCCAAAATAAAATTTTAATACATCAAATGTATATCGTGGCAGAAAATCCATTTGTATTGGAAGAAGATTATATAAATTCTCATTGAATTGTTGCAATAATGTGTCATTGATAACCAAGTCCGCTTCAATGCTTCCTTCATTGCTAGTTAAACTGCTCATAATAGGTTTCTGGGAAAATCTTCCTTCAGCCCAAACTAAGCGAGGATCCTCAGTCAGGAATGCACCATCCCAGTTTCCTTCCACACACGGACGCACAGGAACTGGAGGCGTTCCAGCAAAAACAAATATTTCACTCACTGCTGACACGAGTTTCAGTGCATCGACTCTCTTCAATTGTTTGGCCAAAGTGAAGGAAGAAGCAGTTTCCCAATCATTCAAACCAACATTTTTGGCAGCTTCACGAAACTGGGCCGCAAAATCAATCGGATAATTATACGGCGTAATGGCATTTCCACTCATTAGAATAGCTCGATGGAAAAGATCTAGAAAATACATTTCAAAGATTTTTTTCAACACCACAAGATGAAAATTTTGTAACTTTCTCACTTTGAGATTTTGGATTCAACATATGCAGATTGGCTGCTGCAGCTCCACCACATTGACCAGCAAGAGTTATTGCATTGGCATCACCGCCAAACGAAGCAATATTGTTCGCCACCCATTCAAGAGCAAGTTGCTGATCCTTCAATCCAAAGTTTCCTTTCACAGCTCCATCTTCAGAGCAGAGGAAGCCCAGAAAACCCAATCGATAGTTCAGAGTCACAAGAATAACTTCTCCATTGTCCATCAAGTAATCAGGTCCAAAATATTTGGGACTGGCTGAAAAAGATACGTAGCCACCACCATGAATCCACACTATCACGGGAAGTTTCTTGTCTTTTTTCCAAGTATTTGGGCGATAAACGTTGAGATAGAGACAATCCTCTGATCCCAGAATGGGCGTATCTGGTAAGAAGTAGTTTATCTGATAACAATCGTCTCGAGGATACGAAGCATCCCAGTATCCTTTCCATCCACTGTACGGCACAGGATTCTCTAATCTCAATTTTCCCACTGGCGGTTCAGCATAAGGAATTCCATAGAAAGCCTCGTAAGGCTTTATTCTTCCACTTTCGTACTTTCCGCGAATGCATCCAGCATTTGCACACACTTCCGGATAAGACAAAACTGATTTTCTGAATAAAGTCGTCTTGAATGAATTCGCATTTTGCGAATTACATTCATTTATTATGAAAGCACAGAAAATAATAATGAACTGAAAACTTTTCATCTTGATTCTTTTGCTTCTTCTCTCGAAAAGGTACTAACGCAAACTGATTGAGGCCTTTGTAAATTTCTCTTATACTTAGCGTCTTTCCTATGAGTTCCCAGAGTTCCTTAAACAGGTTCAATACCTCATTCAAAATTCATGTTATTTTTCAAGTTACACATACACATGACAAAATTCATTGATAATTCTCACTGGAATTTCAAATTTTTAATCCAAACACATTAATTTCTCAAAGCGAAATTTATTTCTGAACAGTGAGGCTCAAGAATGTTTTTTCATAAATACATTTGTGGAGAAAATAAATCTTTTACTGACAGTCACGTTCTTATACTCTTTTTTCTGCCCATATAAAATGAATTATCAAGCGCTATTGAAAAACTTAAGTTTACAATTAATCAATTTTAATAAAATCTACTATTAATTGAAGCATATATGTATGCAGTCAAATTTCAATTACAATTGCAATTTCCACCAGTGCAAGGCGGTAGATTTACAGCATTCACGCCAACATCAATCTGAGACCACAATTTCACCATTTCCTGGTTAATTTCATTGGTGACAGAAACGATCACTTGATTGGGATCGAGATCCGTGTATCTCTGGAAGACTTGGCGATCGCAGAAAGGATTCGACGTCAGAGCTGTGCAAGGCTTGTGAGTTCGCCAAACTTTCACCTCTCCTCGAGCCACAAAATTCACAATAGTGCGAACGTAAATATCGCTCATTCTGCTCTCCGCTGAGCCAGGCTCAAATATCGGGAAAAGTGCTGTCATTGTGAATAGATACATGAGATCATCAATATGTGTTACTCCATTAGGTTCTGTCGCCCCGAGATATGTCAGGAAACTGTAAGGGCCCTAGAAAGTATATAAATCTATGACTTACACATAACGAGAAAGACTAAAAGGAATGTGCTTACAGTGAATGCGAATTCGTATAGATAAATCGGATTTTTCTCAACATCAGCATAAGCCAAATACTGTTTCACCATATTTATTAGGGGATATATGAAAATTCTATCAGCAAACATCTGAAAATGGAGAAAATACTAAACTTAATTGGCGTTCAATTTAAGTAACAATTTTGTAATTGACCTACCGATGCAAATTCTGCGTAGTTAGATTCATCGACTGATTCCTTATCTCCAAAGTAGAACTTCAGAACATCGAATACATATCGAGGATGAAAATTCAAAAATAGAGGTAAAATAGTATAAATATTTTCATTAAACACGTTCAATAGAGTTTGATTGTGTGTTAAGGCAACAACTACTGCGCCCTCATCCTTCACGTGACCGGCGAAAATAGGTTTCTGGCTAAACCTTCCCTCGGCCCACAAAACATAGGGACTCTCCGTTAAGAAGGCACCGTCCCAGTCTCCTTCTATGCAAGGACCAAGTGGCACAGTGGGTGTGAAGAGAAACACGAATAATTCATCGATTGAGACAAGACTTAGACCATCCACTCTCTTCAATTGATACGCTAAATCACTCGTAGACGCCGTTTCCCAATCAACTATTCCAGCAATTTTTGCCACCATTCTATACTGAGTGGCGAAATCTTGAGTATAGCGAATGTGTGGAGTTAGAGCAGTGTCACTCAATAAAATAACACGATGGAAATAAGCTAAAAAGAAATAAACCAAGTTTAGGAGTATTGATTTAAAACGCAGATATTAATGAGGTTTCTCACCCGACGACTTTGAATTCAGCATATGCAAATTACATGATACAGCTCCAACACTTTGACCAGATAGAGTTATAGCACCCGAATCTCCACCAAAGGATTCGATATTGTTGAAAATCCATTCAAGAGCAAGTTGCTGATCCTTCAAACCAAAGTTTCCTTTCACCACTCCATCTCCTCCTGAACTGAGGAATCCGAAGACTCCCAGTCTATATGTTATAGTCACAAGAAACACTTCACCATTGTCCATCAAGTATTCAGGTCCAAACTGATCAGGATTTCCAGAAAATCCAAGGTAAGCACCTCCATGAATGTACACCAAAACAGGGAGTTTCTTCTTTCTACTCCAAGTACTCGGCCGATAAACGTTGAGATAGAGACAATCTTCAGAGCCTTTAATGGGCGCATTTGGTAAGAAGTAGTTTTTCTGCAAACAGTCTTCTCGAGGATACGTGGCATCCCAATATCCTTGCCATCCACTGTACGGCACAGGATTCTCTAATCTCAATTTTCCCACTGGAGGCTCAGCGAAAGGAATTCCATAGAAGGCCTCGTAAGGCTTTATCCTTCCACTTTCGTACTTTCCGCGAATGCATCCAGCATTTGCACACACTTCAGGATAAGACACAACTGATTTTCGGAAAAATGCATTATTCACAGATGTGAAAGAAGAATTGAATGCACTTATTTGTAGCACACAATATGCACAAATTATTGATATGAGCAAAGAAGGACGCATTTTGATTCTGCAACCACTCTCAGTTAATTCTTAAGACTAACTGAAGGAATTTTTGGCGATATTTCTTTCCCATTTTTCGTATTTCTTTTTAAACAGGTTTTTGCAAGAACATATGCACATTTCCATATAAATTGTCCAACACATGCCTACAGGTCAAGATATCGCAAAGATTGAAAAAAAAAAGACTTTTGCCTTTCCTAACATTTTATAGGTCCCATAAAGCAGAATTCTACTAAAACCGCCAACATTTAAATTCAGACACTGTATTTGAACAAAAAGACATGGAATATATATGTAGATCTACCAAAGAAAATTTTATATGACAGCGCTTTATTTTGAATTTTCATAATTGACATTATATTAGTACTTGTTCCCATTTCATTAAATCAGTCACACTGATTTAACAACATTCTCCATTTGAACAAGGCGGCAAGTTTATTGCAGCAACGCCATTGTCAATCTGAGACCACAATTTCACCATTTCCTGGTTGATTTCATTGGTGACAGAGACGATGACTTGATTAGGATCGAGATCCGTGTATCTCCGGAAAACTTGGCGATCGCAGAAAGGATTCGACGTCAGAGCTGTGCAAGGCTTGTGAGTTCGCCAAACTTTCACTTCTCCTCGAGCCACAAAGTTCACAAAGGTTCGAACGAGAATATCACTCATTTTTCCCTCTGCAGAATTCGCTTCGAAAACCGGAAACAAAGACGGCATCGTGAAGAGATACATTAAATCATCAAAATGACACACTCCCAAATTCATATCAGTGCCAGTGAGATATTTTAGAAAAGTGTAGTTGCTCTGAAAACATGTTAAAAATTATTTTCAAATAAATTATTGTTGTACCAATGAAATTTCATACCTTGAATCCAAATTCATAGAGAAATATTGGATTTTTCGTAACATCTGCATATTGCAAGTATTGCTTTACGAATGTATAGAGAGGATAACGAAAAAGTCTATCCTCAAACATCTAAAAAAGAATTTCATGTTTGTAATATTGAGTAATGCTTTTCTTTTGTTCACGTTCTCACCGTAAAATATTTATCCCTATTCGTGTCGTCGATGTATTCTTTGTCTCCAAAATAAAATTTTAATACGTCGAATATATATCGTGGTGGAAAATCAATTTGAATTGGAAGAAGATTATATAAATTCTCATTGAATTGTTGCAATAATGTGTCATTGATAATCAATGCGGCTTCAACAATTCCTTCGTTGGTATTAAAAGTATTCAAAATAGGTTTGTGAGCAAATCTTCCTTCAGCCCAAGTTAAGCGAGGATCCTCAGTAAGAAAGGCGCCTTCCCAGTTTCCTTCCACACATGGTCGAAGTGGAACTGGCGGTGTAGCAAAGTAAGCGAAAGTTTGATCAACGGCCAATACGAGTTTCAGTGCATCGACTTTCTTCAATTGTTTGGCCAAAGTGAAGGAAGAAGCAGTTTCCCAATCATTCAAACCAACATTTTTGGCAGCTTCACGAAATTGAGATGCAAAATCAATCGGATAATTGTACGGCGTAATGGCATTTCCACTCATTAGAATAGCTCGATGAAAGAAGGCTGAAAAAATACACAAAATGAAACGTGTGTACAAACAATGTTGTAAGATTTCTCACCCTGAGATTTAGAGTTTAACATATGAAGGTTTGTTGAAATAGATCCAGCACTTTGGCCAGAAACAGTTATGGCATTCGCATCACCACCAAACGAAGCAATATTGTTCGCCACCCATTCAAGAGCAATTTGCTGATCCTTCAATCCAAAGTTTCCCTTCACAGCTCCATCTTCGGAGCAGAGAAAGCCCAGAAAACCCACTCGGTAGTTAATTGTAACCATAATCACTTCTCCATTATCCATGAAATAGTCGGGTCCGAAATATTTTGGGCTGGACGAGAAAGAAATAAAGGAACCTCCATGGATCCATATAAAAACTGGAAGTTTCTTCTCATTACTCCAAGTATTCGGACGATAAACGTTGAGATAGAGACAATCCTCAGAGCCTGAAATGGGAGCACCTGGTAGGACGTAATTTTTCTGATAACAATCGTCTCGAGGATACGTGGCGTCCCAGTATCCTTTCCATCCGCTGTGCGGCACAGGATTCTCCAGCCTCAATTTTCCCACTGGAGGTTCAGCGTAAGGAATTCCATAGAAAGCCTCGTAAGGCTCTATTCGTCCACTTTCGTACTTTCCGCGAATGCATCCAGCATTTGCACACACTTCCGGATAAGACACGCCTGATTTTCTGAATAAAGTCGTCTTGAATAAATTCGCATTTTGCGAATTACATTCATTTATTAACAAAGCACAGAAAATTATAATGAACTGAAAACTTTTCATCTTGATTCTTTTGCTTCTTCTCTCGAAAAGGTACTAACGCGAACTGATTGAGGTCTTTGTAAATTTCTCTTATTCTTTAGTATCTTTTCTATGTCATATTTGTAAAACAGGTTGCGTATCTTATTAATATTCATTTATTTAGACACATGCCAAAATTCTATATTTCTACTGCAATAGTTATATAAAGACTAATTTTTCAAAAGTCTCCATGTGAAATACACAGAAATTTTTTATTCACAAGTATAATTTCCACCAGTACAAGGCGGTGGATTTATTTCTTTTACACATTTGTCAATTTCATTCCAAAACTTCACCATTTCCAAATCGGCATCATTAGAAACAGAAACGATCACTTGGTTGGGATCGAGATCTGAGTATCTCTGGAAGACTTGGCGATCGCAGAAAGGATTCGATGTCAGAGCTGTGCAAGGCTTGTGAGTTCGCCAAACTTTCACTTCTCCTCGAGCCACAAAGTTCACAATAGTGCGAACATAAATATCAGTCATTCTTCCTTCCGGTGTGTCAGGCTCAATTATAGGAAATAAAGGCGGCATCGTAAAGAGAAAGATAAGGTCATCAAGATGTATAACCCCCAAATATTCTCTTGCTCCCAAATATTTGGCAAATGTAAAAGAACTCTAAAAATTTAACGAAAAGAATAATATAGACAAATATTATATGCATTGTATGAATATTTTTCCCATACCTTAAAGTCAAATTCGTAAAGATAAATAGGATTCTTTTGAATGTCAGCGTACTTTAAGTATTGTGTTATGAGATTTATAATTGAAGATGTAAACACTCTGTCCCCAAACAGCTAAAAAGAAATATCAAAAATCAGAGATTATGCCCGCTATTATAACTATTATAGCTTTTTTCCATATTCACCTTGTGAAATTTTTCTACATTGGAGTCATCAATATATACCTTATCCCCAAAATAATACTTAAGAACATCAATCACATACTGGGGATTAAATCTCATCATAGCAGGTAGTAAATAAAATATATCTGCATTGAATGCATCCAATATAGTTTGATTGGACGTCATAACTGATAATAGGCCTCCCTCGTTAGATACAGTGCCAATTAAAATAGGTTTGTGAGGATATGAACCTTTGGCCCATACTTCACGTCGATCTTCAGTCATAAAAGCACCATCCCAATCTCCTTCTACGCAAGGACGAAGCGTTAAAACAGGCGCTCCAGCGACGACATACAGATCATCGATTGAGACAAGATTCAGACCATCCATTTTCTTCAATTGAAATGCTAAATCGTTCGTAGAAGCCGATTCCCAATCAGCAATTCCAGCAATTTTTGCCACCTTTCTATATTGAGCGGAGAAATCAATGGGGTCCATTAATCGGGTTAGAGCAGTGCAACTTATAAGAATAACGCGATGAAAATAAGCTGAAAAGAGATAATCTGTAACAGGATTCAAAAAAAAATTCACGTGCAGTCTCACCCGACGACTTTGAATTCAACATATGCAAATTAGCTGATATTGCTCCAACACTTTGGCCAGCCAAAGTCACAGCGCTTGAATCTCCACCAAAAGATTCAATATTTTTTGCCACCCATTCAAGAGCAAGTTGCTGATCCTTCAATCCAAAGTTTCCCTTCACTGCTTCATCTCCCGAACAAAGGAATCCAAAAACACCTAATCTGTAGTTCATGGTCACAAGGATCACTTCACCATTGTCCATCAAGTAATCCGGTCCGAACTGATCTGGATTACCAGAGAATCCAATAAAAGCACCACCATGAATCCACACCATTACTGGGAGTTTTCTTTTACTCCAAGTATTTGGGCGGTAGACATTAAGGTAGAGACAATCCTCAGATCCCGAAACAGGCGCTCCTTGCAACAAATAGTTCTTCTGCAAACAAGCCTCTCGAGGATACGTGGCATCCCAATATCCTTTCCAGCCACTGTACGGCACAGGATTCTCTAATCTCAATTTTCCCACTGGAGGCTCAGCGAAAGGAATTCCATAGAAGGCCTCGTAAGACTTTATTCTTCCACTTTCGTATTTTCCGCGAATGCATCCAGCATTTGCACACACTTCAGGATAAGACACGCCTGATTTTCGAAAGAATGTATCGTAAGTGGAAGTAAGTTTAGAAGCTGATACTTCTAATTTTAGTGCATAATGTGCAAAAACTACAGATATGAACAAATAGAACTTCATCTTTATATAACCACTCTCGTAGACTTTTTGAAATGAACTGATAGAATTTTAGATTGCTTGTACGCAATCATCTTGGATCAAACTGGTTTTTACGGGAAAATGTATCGTTTTATTTTGTTTTCAAGGTTTGTAAGATTTTCATATAATTACCAGTGCTTTATCTCTCTTGAGATATTTCACTTCGTTTATCCGCTCCGTGTCTAACATTTTGAACACGAAACAAAAAGTACAATAATAAATATCATGAATTTTTAATTACAAATACTTTTCGCTCCTCATTACTCAAAATAAAGTAATTTCAAATAAGACATACTTTCACTCTAAAAATACACTGTCCCTATTACTATATAAATCCCATCAACAATTGCAATTTCCACCAGTACAAGGCGGTAAATTTACAGCTTTTACGCCAACATCAATAGTCGACCAAAACTTCACCATTTCCAAATCGGCATCATTAGAAACAGAAATGATCACTTGATTGGGATCGAGATCCGTGTATCTCTGGAAGACTTGGCGATCGCAGAAAGGATTCGACGTCAGAGCTGTGCAAGGCTTGTGAGATCGCCAAACTTTCACTTCTCCTCGAGCCACAAAGTTCACAAAGGTGCGCACATAAATATCAGTCATTCTGCTTTCCGGTGTGTCAGGCTCAAATATGGGAAGTAAAAATGATGACATTGTAAACAGGTACATAAGATCGTCAAGATGACTAACTCCTAAATACTCCTTTGCCCCGAAGAGTTGAGTTACACTGTAAGCACTCTAAAACGAGTTGTTTTTAATATGATTACACATGAAATGTGGAAGATGTTTACCTCAAAGTCAAATTCGTAAA